GCGCCCCCCATTGATTGATGCGCCCTTAGCATTCGCCTATACTGCCTATGCCAAGGGACGGACGCGCACAGAGTGAGCGCCGTGCTGGCCGCCTTGCTGATTTCCTCTGCCTCGGTGGTGGACCGCTCTACCAGTGTCACCACCGAGTTGGAGAGCAGCGCGATGATATTCGTCGCCGCCTGAAAGGCACACTGTTGCACCCGGTCGGCCTGGCGGGCGACATACTCTCTGGGGGAGCTCAACGTAGCGCGCCGTCCTGTGGCGACGGAGAAGGGGACCGCATGCTCGGCCGCCAAACCAGCCCCCTGCTCCGACTCTGTCTCCCCCGTCCGGGGGAGAGGAGGGAGGCGTCCGCTCTTCGCTTCCTGTCGGCCGATGGGAGACGGGCACAATGTGAGCAAGCGACCTGCTTGCTGAGAGCCGCGTCCGCGTGCTCTGGCCCCAGGCAGGATTCGCACATTGCGTGTTGGTCATAGCTCATGATATATCCTGAGCCACATGAGGGACAATTTCGGACGCAGTTGTTGCTCATGTTTAATGGTTCTGTGCTTCAGTAACTGCCGAGGTTTGCTGAAGAAAAGAGGGAGCAGATTGCCGGGCCTCCTTCCTATTTATACCGGAAGGAGGCCCGAGGGCGGGGCCCACCATGCGGGTGGGTGTGGACTACAAGTGTTTCAGTGCTGCGCGGGTGCGCAGGGGGATTACCCAATAGCGATAGAGGGCAAAGCCATATACGAAATAGAACCCAAAACACGAGACACAAACATTGTTCTTTACCAGAGCATTACAAATGACTTCAGGGTATTTCAATAAAGAATGCCTATTCAAAAAAGGATTTTATAAAACAACATACATTTCATTGAATGATTACATTGGCATGCTAAAAACATGAACGTGTTACCCTTCAATGTAATCCATATGCAGTCAAAAAAGCCTCTTTCCGACCAAGTGAATGAAAGTGACTTTCAAAACTTTTTTATGTGATGGTATTTACTCGTGTGACAGCAGCCATTGTACTTGACATTTACAGTGAATTGTTTTTCAGATAACTTTGTGGTGGACCATAGCTCCTGTGTGAGAGCGTGCCCCAGTAACAAGATGGAGGTGGAGGAGAACCGCATTAAGATGTGCATTGCTTGTACCGACATCTGCCCGAAAGGTAAACCACACATAGATGTTTAAGAATGTTATCTGTAATTAAGTTCCTATTTGTTTAGCCGTATATAAAGTTGTTAAATGAAATAACTTATTATTTCCACATTAATGCTGAGACACAATGAACAATGGGGAAATACAGGGAGTATAGGAGATGTAGTTTTAATTCTTACAAAATTTCGCACAACTGCATCATCCAGGGACATGACATCATTGTGCATTGAAACATGCAAAGAGCAACTTTTGGTGAACCTTGGTCATTTGATTAATTTGAATAATTTTTAAAAACCCGTTTCCAGATTGATCGTGACTTTAAGGCGTTGACAGCCCTCATCTTTATTTTGCTGCACATTACATAATGCACTTTGTCTATCCCCCTGTGTGTCGCAGCATGTGATGGCATTGGTACAGCCAGTCTACAGACGGCTCAAACAGTTGACTCCAGCAACATCGACCAGTTTGTGAACTGCACCAAAATCAACGGCAACCTGGTGTTCCTCATCACTGGGATCAAAGGGTGAGACTTAAAAACATTTAGCTCATAAGAATGATGAAAGAGTGGGTGCAAAAGTGGAACTGTGATCATTATTGAACGTGTTAGGTCTTCAAGCCTTGTGTTAATTGTCCGAATGATTATAAATAATGTTTCCATGTCAATCATGGCAAGCGTGAAATAAGTATGTTGAAAGCGCCTTGAGAGTAAGAAGAGTGCTGTTAAATGTATATACTCATAAATGAATGAATGTAAAGAAATGTGGCTAGAGGGTGACCCTAAAGCAAACGTGTTTATATAAAAATGAGGATAGATATACATTATTTATGCATGCAAAAAATCATTTCATTTTAGCAACTTTAGCAAGAAAATGAATAATGCACATAGTCTGTGAAACATCCTGTTCTGACATGATCCTTTTCTCTAAATTGTCTATTTCTGGGTGAGCACACCTACTTTGTCATTGCTGTGATCAAGAGGCACATTGCTTATCTATACAGTGTGAAATATAGATGCTATTATCTTTCATTGTGTTGTTTGCTGTGTTCTAATCTCGCATTATCATTTGTCAGGGATGTGTATCACAACATTGAAGCTTTGGACCCAGAAAAACTAAATGTATTCCGCACCGTACGGGAGATCACCGGTGAGTAATATCATTGCACAGCATGCCTCTGCACATGCATATGAATTAAATAGCAAAAAAAACAATTGACCCTTCCTATAATCCCTTCTCTTGCACTTTTTTGTCAGATGAAGTGTGCATATACAGTACGTGGTGCTTGACTGTGTATCTGTGTGTGTGTGTGTGTGTGTGTGTGTGTATTTGCTCAAGTATGCCTCACCCCCCCACCCCCTGAGACTGTCCACACCAAGGAGAGACATCGCAGCATAAGATGAATATCAGATGAGTCTTTCAATCTCCTCTGTCTCTCTGCTGCTTCTCCCTCGAGGAGTCTCTAGCCTTGAGTCCCACTGTCCCAGCTCTCCCTTCACGCACCATGAAGAAAAGATCCAGGACATGTGGTGCACATCGTTAATCCCCCAGCTCCCCTGTCATTTCTATAGCTGGACATTTGACAATGGCATCTGAAAGAAACATTAGAGGTTCCGTTTCTCAATACTCTAATTTCCCCTCCTCGACTCCTATCCTCGACTCCTATCCTCGAGACTTAGTCCCGCCCACAGGAGATGCGAGCGGAAGGAGCCGAGGAGAGAGGAGGGGAAGCAGCAGGCGGTTAGAGAAATGAGAACTCCTCTCCTCTGAGCGGTCATTTTAAAGAAACGTCCATTAATGATGATAGGAGGCACAGCAGCACTCTGATGGACAGATGTGTTCATGACGACTTATAAATGTACTTTTAATTCATTGACAGTGCGGTATAACGAGACAATAACAGGCTACAGATGCGGACACACATACACACACACATATATTTATATAAATATATACAATTTCAGAATCAAACAAGTATGAGAGCACTCTCATAATAACGTACTGTAACACAATCATAGACTGGATATATCCCCCCCCCCCTCTCTCTGGTCGCTGAAATGGGGAATTGAAATTACGGGCCAAAAGTTGTATTTACAAGTATTAATAGTAAGCAACACCAAACCAACTGAGACCCGTCTGTCCGCCACATCTATGCACTGTACCACACACACCTACAGCTCCTAAAGTATAATCAGGCTACAGCCGTTGTGTATTTTATTATGTGAAGCACTAAATGGTCTTAGAAAAATATCGACTCTTTGTTTGTAAATACTGTACAGTGGGGCAAAAAAGTATTTAGTGCTGACTAAATACTTTTTTGCCCCACTGTACAGTATTTACAAACAAAGAGTCGATATTTTTCTAAGACCATTTAGTGCTTCACATAATAAAATACACAACGGCTNGACTTACACGAAATCTGCTGTAATCATAGCAATACTCTGGAAAAGGATCCTTAATAACACAGAGATGATACTGATTATACGTGAGTTAAAGCTTTGTCAGTCTGTCTACAACAACGAGAAACATTTAAAAATGTTTGTTTCTGAATGAGATGTTGATAAAGCTAGGCTAACATTTAGCTGCTCCATCAGCCCTCAGAATAACTCATGTACTCATACGTACGAGCAGGTAACTATATAGTTAGCACCCACAGACAGTCTCTGTTAAACAGGACATACCACCTGATTGAATATGAGTGCTGTAGGCTCTGTTCTCGCTCTCTGATTCCCTCAGACCGTCAGAGACTCACAGGAGCCCAATCTCACATGACAGCTTTTGTAAACAGAGCTCACAGCTTACACTCAAGTTGAAATGGTCACGCTCACGGAAATACGCGGTGATATGAATTTCCCATTCTTCACTTCCTTCGGTCCAGCACGGATCTGGGTCTTGCATTGACTCTACATGTAATCTCGTTAAAACTCTGTTATATCTGCTAATGCGTAAACTCAGCCAGCAGTTCACGCAGTGATTGTATTCTGCTTTAGTATATATCTAATAACTTGCTAGTTGTCTAAACATGCCAAGTATTTAAATAATGTTTTGGATAGGTTTTTCCTGCACTAAATCAGTCATTCATCAAGTATGGACTTCTGTTCTAAGTCATTTATGCTGAGATACAGATGATAAGTATAAGCGTGTCATTTGAATGGATCCGTCGAAAGTAAGTTAGCTGGCTCAAGTCTTTCTAGTGAGGTTACTGACAAATCAGAGGAGACTCGACTATTGCTGATGATGCATTAGCGAAGCACGAGTTCAACTATATTATCCGATTACATAAAAGCTGAATCCTCTTCAGGTCAGGTTACAGTAGAAACAGACTCTTACTTTCTGTCTGGGGGTCCAGGTTCATTTCTGAAGTTTAGAGGTGGCCACATAGACCCGTCACTCTTCAGAGACAGACAGCTGGGGGCTGGAGACCCTGCTCTCTGTCTGTGGAAACAACACATGTTTTAAACATCATTAGTTCTTGTAAAGAGCAACATTATGATCTATGACTGTCACCTTATTAAGATATACGTTTTGAGTCTTGATTGTGGTTTTCCTGTTGTTAAAATTCATCTGAGTGTGAAACGTTTTACATTTTTGTATTTTGTTGCTAATTTAACACAAGCAGTCAAACATGTAGAGTGGTGGAGGATTTGATTTCACTGGTAGATCAATTTACTATTGCGATGATGACAAACAGAGCCATGAGTTCTACTATGTTAATGTACATACAGATACTTAGTATCATTAATACAGTATAGATTATCAGATGACATAATAGCTTAGTAAACAGAAATACATCTTCAACGTCAGTATTATGTAGAAACTGAGCGGTCCTCTCTGCAATCCGTGTAATCGCGCACTATCAGAGAAACCCGGTGTCCACTTACTGAAGTGTTGATGTGCGAGGTTACCACACTGAGCGTCGCAGGAGTATTTCTACCCCGTAGAGACAGACAGCTGGTAGACTGAAGATGATAGCGTGCACTACAGTTCATCATTCTACTTTTAAATCAGTCACAGAGCGCACGGTACACACTATTTCAATCACTAGATCGGTGTTTTGGTTGAACTGTCCTTTCAGGACACAGCAGAGATCCGAGACTATTCATCATGAAGCGTGGCCCCACAGAAGACATTCACCAGAGTCACAACACTAACACACTTGACGCGACAATGATCAGGATGTCATTTCTTACCATAGTCAGACAGCAGCATAACGACATCTGAAGCGTGAAACGGAAGGGTCATTTAGCAAGTTAGTACAGTATCCAGTAACAGACTGTAGCGGTGCAGCTTGACGGAGTGCATTCTACCAAAGTCAGCAGCGAGCAAGACACTCAGTACACTCATCTAGTGTGATACATGGTGGAATATCATGACTTTACATTTATGTTCTATACATGTGACCACGTGTCTATATACACACACACACAGCATACATGTAAGTTTGGGAAGCTGCACCGCATCATTCTGTCCATAGCACATCACTCAGTTGTTACTCTTCATAATTCTGATAGACCTTAAAGTGTCAAGTGACCTAATTTTATCGATTAATTTCAGAATCCAGAAAATATTCGTAATCTATAATGATTAAAACATTGTGTGGCGGATATTTAGATTAAATGCATAAAATGGATATAGAACACATAATGACTGCACCTATTATAATTCTTTTATGTTAATAAGTCTTATTACAATTATCTAACAAGCCTTTTTATAACACTCATGCTGAGTTAGTGAACTTGCATATTCCAGACAATAGAGGAACTTCAGGCACATCTTCTGTTATAAGTCATTGATTTATGAACGAACATCGCTATAGTTAAATCGCCAAGTTATACTGATGCATCATTAAACAGCTGGGTTGAGAATGTATCTATATAAATAGAATTTACATCTTGTCTGACAGAGTTTATTAGTCATAATATTCACCTACAAGACGGCAATCAGTAATCTTTGCCAACTTTTATATAACTGTTAATTGTCTGACGCATGCGATCCTCTCTGTTTCAAAGTACCCCTAGACTAAATGACATTTTCACGCCAGTATAACAGAGTACTATGATGAATGCTGTTAAGTAAAGACTCCAGATTCTGGTGTCATGAGTGCAATCCTGTCCTCAGTAAGATGCTCAAGCCTTCAAGTGGACTGCACCAAAATCAGAGGTAGACTTCACTATTGCTGAGATACAGAGCACAGAGTCAACTGAGTACTAAAAATGAATCCTCTTCAGTTCAGACATAGAAACACTCTTACTGTCTGAGGTCCAGTTCATTCTGAATTTATAGATAAGCCTTTAGACGGTCACTCTTCAGAGACAGACAGCTGGAGATAAGATGTGTCCTTTCCTGATCTTTTATCACTCATCTTTCAGCTGTGTAACCTGTATGTGACAACAACATCCACACACACACACACATACACACCACACATCATAACATACACACAGCACCACACACACACACCTATACTCACACACACAGCTGCTTATAGTCAATATCTATATCACATCTATAATATTGAACTTTGCGTTAAGCATATCTCATACATGAATAATCATACAACGATTATCTCTTTATCTTCTAACAGTTTTATATATTAAGTGGGTAATAGATCTTGAAAACATAGTGTCTTATCTCAGAGATTTTTTGTGTGGTGTGTATATGACTGTGGTTGTTATGTGTTATCTCAATTATATTGACTTAGTTTATTGTGTTGCTAGTATTTGTGTCTGTTGCTATCTGTGCGTGTGTGTTGGTTGTGTGTTTGTTGTTTGGTGGTATANATATCGACTCTTTGTTTGTAAATACTGTACAGTGGGGCAAAAAAGTATTTAGTCAGCCACCAATTGTGTAAGTTCACTTAAAAAGATGAGTGAGGCATGTAATTTTCATCCTAGGTATACCTCAACTATGAGAGACAAAATGAGAAGAAAAAAATCCAGAAAATCACATTGTCTGATTTTTAAAGAATTTATTTGCAAATTATGGTGGAAAATAAGTATTTGGTCAATTACAAAAGTTCATCTCAATACTTTGTTAAATACCCTTTGTTGGCAATAACCAGTGTTGGGACTAACGCGTTTCGAGAAAGAGCTATCAATCTGTCAATCCTTTCCGTGTCCGAAAAACAGTATTTAAAGTGCCCATGTCAT